TTGAGCCTGGGAAGTCGAGGTTGCAGTGGAGCCAAGTATCGCACCGCTTCACTGCAGCCTTGGTGGGACAGAGTGAAGACCCGTCCCCCAAAAAAAAAAAAAAAAACTTGGTGACTGGGAATTCTGAACGTGGGTCCAAATTCCTCCTCTGTGATTAATCAGCTGAGACATGGTGGGTGAATCTCTTCATGTCATCTTTCCCATATTTAAGGAAGATAACACCTTCCTCCAACACTGGACGTCCCCCTGGCCTTCCAGAAAGGGTCACTGAATAGCCAAAAATATCTTCTTTCTTGGGGATGGAAATGCAAGTGTCTCTGAGGGATATGGAGCGTGTTGGGGAGGCAGCAGCCCATTTCTGGGTGTGCTCCCTTCTCCGGGCTGCCTGGGCTGGTGGGAAGCTGTGAGTAGGCAGAAGCAGCCCCAGACACTCTGTGCCTCCAGGAGCTGCTGTGGCCTTCTTTGAGGAGAGAGCCCGCCAGCTGGGCCTGGGCTGTCAGAAAGTGGAGGTGAGCCTGGGGCCCTAAGCAGGGAAGGGAGGTGGGCCTGGGCACTTCCTCACCCTGCTCAGACCACCTCCCCTCCTGACCATCTCCAGGTGGCACCTGGCTATGTGGTGACCGTGTTGACCTGGCCAGGCACCAACCCTGCACTCTCCTCCATCTTGCTCAACTCCCACACGGATGTGGTGCCTGTCTTCAAGGTATGTAAGGGGCTGGGGCGGTGGGCATTGCAGACGTTGGGGACAGACATGATGCAGACCCCAGGATCCAGCCTCAGGGAGCGCATGGTCCTGGTCCCAGTCCTGGCACTGACTTTCAACATCCTTATGACATTACACCACTCAAGCAGCCTTCGTCCAGCAATAAGATCTGGGCCAGAGTTGGGTAGGGACTAGGGGGTGGGAAGCAGGAGACAGTGATGGGGGATGGCAGTCAGCTGCCTTCTTCAGCCCCCGTCTTTCCTCCCCCACCACTCCACCTGTCACTCCAACCCTATGGTGGGCTCCTAGGGAAGGGCCACTGTTGACCAGAGTGGATTAATGGCTAAATTGGAGGTTTGGGCCCCTCTTCCCATCCCTGCCCCCAGGAACATTGGAGTCACGACCCCTTTGAGGCCTTCAAGGATTCTGAGGGCTACATCTATGCCAGGGGTGCCCAAGACATGAAGTGCGTCAGCATCCAGTGAGTGTCCTCCATTCCCGCTCCTCCACAATGTCCCCACTGGTCTAGTGGATTGACCCAGGACCTGGAGGGGTGATTGGAGAAACTTAAGGCCAAGGGACACCTTGGCCCCTTGGACAGGAATTACTTCCATGACCATTGCATCGATAGGGAGATGCAGCCCAGAGAGGAGCATGGACTTTCTGCAGTCCCTATCAGGGTGTGGCAGGGTAAAGTCCAGGGCACAGGACTCCAGCCTGCTGGCCCTGCCTGCCGGGCCAGCCTGAGCATCTGGTGGCTCCCCCAGCACCTGGCTTATGCCCCCTCAGGTACCTGGAGGCTGTGAGGAGGCTGAAGGTGGAGGGCCACCGGTTCCCCAGAACCATCCACATGACCTTTGTGCCTGGTAGGAGTGGTTCAGATACCTCTGGGAAAGGGGAGGGTGGGGGTGGGGCAGCCTCCTCATCTCATGGCCCTGCTGCTTTTACAGATGAGGAGGTTGGGGGTCACCAAGGCATGGAGCTGTTCGTGCAGCGGCCTGAGTTCCACGCCCTGAGGGCAGGATTTGCCCTGGATGAGGGTGAGCAGGTTGGCAAGCTGATGAGCAGCCAGGCAGGGAGTAGGAGGCTGCTAGTGGGGACTGGGCTGCTCCACCCTCTGAACCCCCTTTCCCTCCTCAGGCATAGCCAACCCCACTGATGCCTTCACTGTCTTTTATAGTGAGCGGAGTCCCTGGTGTAAGTATGAGCTTGGAGGGAGGGCTCACTCTACAGGTGGGAGGCTAGGCCAGAAAGGGCACGGTCCTATGAAG